TAAGGAAACATGCAATAAATTTACTTACTTAACCAACATTTAACTGAAGGCCTGTTGTGTGTTGAGTGCTGGGGCCATACATAGAAAAATACTATATCTATAGACTCTACCCTTGTAAACCATTCAGGCTAATGAATTCAGATACCTAAAGCAAGTAAATCCCAGTAAAACATGATAAGTGCCCTAAGAGAGGAATGAGCAAAGTAATACGAGGGCACACAGAGTGGAGGGACCAAACTCTGTTTGGAAAAGAAGGGGCAGGCTTTGTGGAACATGTGGTATTTGAGAGTACCTAAAGAAGAATATGCCTGATTGAAGACGGAGTTATGGACGAAGGGCTCAAAACATAACATGGTGGGCTCACAGAAAACTAAGAAATTAAACACACCTGAGTGATGAAGCTGGTTGGATGGAAATAGACTAAGATGTTATCTATTTAAAATTTAATACTTCTTTGTTCATAGGAATTGATGTATTGCTTTGTGTCAGATAAGACTATTACTCCTCTGAGTTCCTCATTTTGCCTTCTTGCCAGGGAAGTTAGTATTAAACTTCACATTTGGTGGAGTTTTTGGTATATTTGGCATATTTGCCTTTCCCACAGGTTGTGCTTTCTTCCCTCTCTGCTTAAGAGATCATCTGCTTAACACGGAATGCCCTCTTTGTTCCTAATAGTCATTCCATATTTACTGAAAACCCACTGAGAAAACAGTCATGAAACTTACTTCTTAGTGTCCAAGTCCTTCACAATCGTTTTCCATCTCTACATGAATATTTCTTGACCACTGCAATTCAATGGCTCCAGTTTTCACTTACGGTTAATTCTGCAATGTTCTCGAACTTCAGAGGGGTAAAATTCTTTCACTGGTGGTGGTGTGATCTCCCCAACTAGACTAATCTGCTTTCAGGGCAGGGATCATATCATCTTCTTTGAGTACTTCTTGCCATGAAATAGAGTGATGAGAAGGAAAAAAGAAACTACATTCCTGTTAGTGATTGTTAGATGATGAGTGATGAGGTAATAGCATGTGAGTTCTGCTCTCTTTTGGGGACGTGTATTGAAATATGAAATAGCTTTCTAAGACATATCAAATCCTTGCTTAGTACCCACTTTTGTATATTAACAGGAATGAATGAAGCAACAGAAGAAATCCAGACAACAACTCCAGGACTTGGAAATCATGAATTTAAATTTTCAGAATTTGTAGGTAAAGATATTTCTATCTCTTTTTCCAATTAGAAGTCATGACTTGGAAGAGAGAAGATATAGGACCTGAATCACTGAAGAAATACTGTGAGAAAATTTGGACTGACTTATCTTCCATCCGACCTTAGGATTGCTAGGTCAGAATAGCAGGAATCCAAGAAGTATTGATAGTCTGACAGAGTAGTATTGAAACAGGGTGCAGCAGCAGGAATGTAATGGCCGTGTCAAGCAAGCAGGTATTGGCATTGGGCAAGGGTGGTGCTGAAGAGGTAAGCATTTGACAGGATTTGAACCTGGGTCTCGAATGCTAAGGTTCATGTACTTATTCCAACAAACAGCTGCTCAATTAGCTGATAGGAATGAAAAGAAATCCAGCGGCATTTACTAGTTCTCCATAGTTCCCTTTCTTTCATCTATAGGTTTTACTGTTCATAACAGGTTGCTGCCACTTATCAGGGTACACTGGGGGTCAACAATTCAGGATGTCCTTAAGTCTTCCTCCTTCCTACCTTGACACCTTGCTATCTCACAGGGTGGTTATGAGGATTAAAAGACTAAATTCATGTTCAGTGCCTATAATAGTGCCTGGCTCCTAGTAACTGTGCAAATGTTAGTTGCTGTTACTAATTGTTACCATTTTTTCCCCAAAGTTTAAAGGAAATGCACATTAATTTAAAAAAGGTATCGTGTACCTACAAGAAGTGTTAGGGAGACACCTAAAATGAGTGGAGACTTGAGAAATATACTAAGAATCCTTAAAATGGTTTTTTTTAAAGGCTTTATTAAGAAGACTGTTCAAAGATGACAGATGCCTGGTAGAAAGTGCATCTTTCTCATCTTTATTAAGAATGATATCCAAACATGAAAATATGTAAGATACGGTTAGGAGCAGGGTGATCATACATCCCAGTTTGTCTGGGACAGTCCTGATTTACATCTGTTGTCCTGGTGAAATTATTACTAATGCTCCCTTTTCATCTCAATGTCCTGGTTTGGATGAAAAAAATTACATGGTCACCTTAGTAGTAAGGGCAATGAAAATAAGTGTGTTATCAAAAAACAAAGAGCATCTATATTTAAAAAGAATTGATCATTTCTAGGCTCAGATAAAAAACAAAATCCCAACGTTAGTGGGAACGTATACATGCAGGTTAAATTACTACCAGTAATTGTGAAAAACAAGAAAATAGAAAATGTTCCAGAACACTGAGCTTGGGCAAAAGGCTAAATTTAAGGGGTAAAAGCTGAATTCCAGAAGCCACACACCAGGAAATTTACCTTTGAATCCTGGAAAATTTCTGAATGGACACTTGTGTTTTAAATCAGAAAGCCATGCTCATTTTGAAGTCAGAATTGATCACTCAGAATTGATGACCTGTTCTATTTTCCTTGCTGTGTGCATAGCCAGGAATGCCATGTTCGATTCCGCTTCCTGGGCAGTAGTCAGGGCAGGAAAACAAGGCGTCAGAATTCTAAGATTGATATAATCCTATGTAGGCAAGTTTATACAGGGCACCAAGACACTAGGCATGTGGATTCCTCCCTGGTAGCCGTGGCAATAAGTAAAACACATGGGACATGTTGTTATTACCTGAGAAGACTAGAGCTGTGAGGAAAAAACAGGTCAGCAATACCTAATAATACTTTTTATTACAGTAAGATAATAGAATAATGACAGTCTTTATTAATAACAATTCTCCTGGAGAAGGGCCTGATGTGCTTAGGAAAGTATAGCTCTTTCTGAGCAAGAAAGCACTTCTAGGAAGGCTCCCAATTCCCAAGGCTGTACACACCTCCATGTTCTCTGCGACTAACTCACATCCTAGCACCTACAACATTCCATTATTTACACATCTATTTGGCTCCTTCACTCAACTTTCAGCTCCTTGATGGTAGGTACAGTCTCCTTACTGTTAGATCTCTAGCCTGGAAACAGTAGATAATGCTTGCTGAATGGCAGATGGTGTTTTGAAAACCACAACAGGGCTATTTTGTCAAGTCTTTTGCTCCATGAGGCCAAGATAGGGTCAGGTTTACCTCACAGCAAATGTGGAGTTCAGAAATTTTCTGGCACCTCTGCAGGACTCTGCATTACCCAAGAGGGTATTCAAGTGTCATTCTGATAGTTATGTATCTCTGGCTTGGTGTGCACTGTAAGATTTTAATCTATTCTAGACAAAAACTCTTAGGACCCCAAAGCCGGATTCGGATACAGGATTAAAGGTGACTAGATTCACCTAAACACGTATTTATGATGGACAGAATCATCAGATAATTGAGATTTGCAGATTAACCAGTAGAGCTCATTCCATTTGTGGTGATGCTTTCTTGTTCTTTATTCATTTGCTCACATACTTATTATTTAATTTGGCTTTTTGTTTTTTTTTTTTTCCATCAGAGATTTCCTGAGTACCTTCAGTGTCGCAAGTGCTGGGATTACAAAGATAGAGGAGTTCGTGCTTTCAGGGCATTCACACAGTAATAAGAGAGATACATGTACTTCTAACTCTGAATTAGACTGAGTACTCTAAAATCCATAAAGGACTGTGGGACCACAGGGATTGACAAGTGTTATTAGGCACTAAGGATGAATGGGAGGAATTTACTAAGCAGGGTTGGGGGAAGGGAGCATTTTAGAGAAGCAATTTGTAAGCTGCACTGTTCCTCTTCTGGTGACTCTAAAACCTATTGTTTAAGGGCAGGCCAGCCTTTCCCCAATGTGTTCTTCAAGAGGGAAGTTGGATGCTTGCTGCAACGAAAGGCTGGGTTTGAGTGATCACATGGATTCATATAGCTTCCCATTCTGATTTGGTACAATTACCTGGGAAATAACTTTAAATCTGAGAAAGCTAGCAACTGTGGTCATCTAGATTCTGAGTAAAGTGTTTACAATATGATGTTATTTATAACAAAGTAAATTAGTAAAAAGTCTCAAATATAGAAATATTTTATAAATATAATTTTATTACTTGGAAATATATACAAAAATTCAAACACAGCTAAAAAACAGTTGCTAAGCAGAGTTCCTATCCAACCTGGTTTAATGAACATAAAGTTATCAGCATAAAACTTGAGTCCTGAAACAACTTATTGTCTTCAGGGTCTTTAAATAATGAGTTTAAAAAGAGGTAACTGTTTTGTTCTTTACACCTATTTAAATCTTTCCCCCAAATACAGAGTACTAACATTTGTTTGGTTCATGAGGTTTTATTTTAGAAAAATAGCTAAAGCTATTAGCTAATTATTTGAAAACTGCAATATGTTTCCCCATTTCCAGTCTTCTGTCACCTTACATTCTCCATAGTTTCTCAAAAATTCCCAATAGTTGTTAACAGAAAGCATTTGCAACCTCCAGTAGCTCTCTAGGATACAGAAGTGCGGATCTAACAATCTTGAAATCATTTAAGGGGGCAATAATTTTTTTTTTATTTTTCATTTTTGCAATTTCATGTCATTTTATTTTGGTCCAGCCATATCTCCTTGTAGGAGAAAAAAAAAAAAAGAGTTATTCTGTTCTTCCTGATTGTCAATTCATTACACTACTTTATCCATTCTTTTTGCTCTCAGGTTTAAAAAAGAAAAAAAAAAAAAAAAAAAGCCTTCTGGACAACCTTAGCATTTTCTATAAATTTAAGCTTATTGTGAGCTTGAACATTTCAAACATTTTTATATTTCACTCTCCTCTAACTTTTGTCATGCCAGTTTTCCGTTCTTTTGCAAATGATCTTTGACAACCTGGCTTCATCAGAGAGCTCTGAGATGCTTTAGATGCCCATTCTCTATCTTATTGGCTGGGTTCTTTTAACTTAAAAAAAATAATAATAATTTGTAGAATGTCATCTAAAAGTTTTCACAATGTGAAGAACTGGAAAAGGTAGCTGGCTAAGAAGCAGAAAGGCCTCCTTTTGGTTTTGGGAGTCAACTGTGATCTTCAGTCTGGTCTTGCATCCTCTCTTCCCAGCTGAGAAGCCTGAGGCCCTGAGTAGATTAAATAAACTGGGGAAGACGTCTACCTGAAATGGTCTGATTCATGGTTCAGAGGGGAACAAGTCTAAATTTGAGACTTGCTTCCACAATATTCTTTCTCAAAGTTGAAAGTGAACATATTTCCCTGCTTGCAATCTGTTGATGGATCTCTGCTGTCTACAATATATACTACAAACCCCTTACTCTGGTACACAAGGCCCTGTGTGACCAGCTCCCATTTCTTTTTCTAGCTTCTCCAACCCCAAATGCCTTACTAAAAGAACTTTTTTCTCTAATGCATTAGGCTGTTTCACACCTTTGCTCAGATTATTCCCTCTCAGCCAGATCTCTACCTCCTGAGAACACCTGTTCATCTTTTAAAAGCTCAAAATAAAAATAATGTCTTCAAATCTCTGCAATTGAGTGCTCCTTTATGCCCTCATTAACCTTTATTTTCTTCTGTCTTTACATCTATAACACGTTACAGTCATTGTTTACATATCCATCTGCTGACTAGACTGTAAACACCTCTAGGGCAGAAATAATGCTTTATTCAGCTTTGTCAGGTACTCTAGCACCAAAAAACTTGCACTGAATAAATGTCAGACTGAAATCTGCTTCCCTGTGACTTCCTCAAATCCTAGTTCAAGCCCTGGGATTCAGATAGACAATGCCAGCCCTTCAAATATCTAAAGACTGTCCAGTCCCAAGTCTTCTCCAGACAGAACAGCCTTAACATCCATATTTTAAAAACCTTTTTATCCAAGCTGTCCTTTCATGGAGTGCACTTGAGCTTAGTGACTTTTTATAAAATTAGGTAGGCACCACGTCCTAATGAGTGCTGAGCCCCTCAGGGTAAAAAAGTAACCAAGGTCACTTCGCTTCTCATTCATTAACTAAATGCCTGATGGTGACTACTAAGTGTCCAGAAATTCTAGGCACTAGTGATATAGACATTAAATTTAGTTTCCTTGTCCTCAATGGCTTCACAGTCCAGAGAAGACAATGATAGTGGCAGGGCTAGAGCCTAAGCCCAGTATGCATGAATGCTAAATAATACTTCCTCAAATCAACTCCTTTTTTTAACAGCCACTTGTTATCATCTTACAGAATAGTGAACACGTACTCCTTGAGGCCTTTTTCATAATAACTACTCTTAAGTCAGCTCTCTGCAACCTCACCCCTGAATTGTATCTTTTGTTGATTATTTTTTCAAACCCAGTTACAGGATTACCATATTATTCCAGTTGATTGCATGTGCTGCTTTTGGTCCTGTGTGCTATCTTGTTGAATGTTTGTGAATTTCCATGCTGACCTTCACAGATCTGGTCCATCATCTAACCTGAAGACCATAACTCTAACTTGATTCAACTTACTGGCTAAAAGCAATGAGGATAACAGAACTAAGGCCCAACCTCTAGAAAGGTCCATCCTACTTTCTTATTCACAATCTGGTACAATACACTAAAATATACCCCTTATCACCTTATTAACATTTATTATTTTCAATAAAACTATGGATAAATCATGCATCACTAGGAATTATAAGCTGGTTTTTAAAAATAATCATTAAATATCCATTATAAATATTTTATTTTAAAACAATTGGAAGATGTTACATATATTACATACTACATATAATGGCACATGTCAGCCTTTTAAGCTTAAAAATAATCTTTTCCCAAACTGGGATTGATTTATACCCAAGTATAAAATGACCCTTGGCCTATAGCACCAACCCGGGCCCAGAGGAAAAGCCAATTTTGAGCCTGTCTGTCCTCTGGCATTGGGCTTTCAGATATGACACTGAGGGTCCTCTCCCTCTGGTTTTATTCCCTGGCAGTATTGAGGCCTGGCACAGGGACCCATCTTACTGTATGCTGCAGGCCTGGGAAATCAGGGAATCTAGAGGGGGTAAGGTCCTCTAACCATTTTACAATGGAAAGAAAAGTTAAATATGTTCCTTATTCTGTGTTTTTAATTTACACAACTATAACAAGACTCTACAAGACAGAAGGAGGTTAAAATTACCGAAATACAATTTCTCTGCTGGTTCTTCTCTTTGGAAATTGAAGTCTCATAATAGGAGTAGCGTTAAAACTCATCTAGTTCTGACTGGTAACCTGTTCCACTGTCACCTCCCTTTCCCAGATTTAGGTATAATTCATTCAAAGTTTTAAATGCCATCCATATGCCACATTTTTAGACAAACACAGAAGCTTAATAATACTTTTCATTTTCTTTTTCTTGGTTCATAAGGACAATTCCTGCCAAATGTTCTGTCTTATGACTCTCCTCCGCTTCAAAGTATGTTTAAGTTACACATTAAGAATCCAAAAAAATACCACTATGGAATTTTCATAAGCAATATCCAACCAATCAGTAAAACACAGTACACAGTGTGAAAATTTTAATTTATTCCCCTCCCAAGTATCCAGAATGTATATCTCTTTAGCTTTGAGAAATGAGATACTGAAAATACCAACAGAATTGATCATATGAAAGAAAGAAAAGCACATACGACACAGGAAACATCCCTAAGTCCTCCCTACCGTAGTAGTGCAAGTTAATGGTAAGTTTCTGGCAATGTCACCTTTCTTTACATGACAGATTTAAAGTGGAGATAGGCCTCTGATTTTTATTTTTAAATCCTAGCAGGTTTTTTTTTTTTTTTTTTTGAGGCTATATTAAATGACAATGCATTTTGAGTCGGGGAGAAAAAAATTAAAAACCCAAAACTTCTTTCAGTTTATTCAAAATAAAAATACACATAGAATTATGAAAATATAGGTTTACTATTTCCACCACGTAGGTTGATGCTGCTGTTGAAAGGCTTACAAACTGTTTTTCAAGTTTTTAAAGCTCATCTCGATCCCTCAATAGAGTATACCTATATTCACTGGGTGCTAGTTTCTGGAAGGAGCTCTCAGGTGGACTGCTTGCTACATCTTGGGCTTGCTACAAAAGAAAGAATAAAACATTTTTATACCAATATAGTTTATAGTGCCATAATATTTTAATAAGAGTATTTGATGAATGGTAGTTCCCCTATAATTATTTGCTTATTAATCAATAAAAGCAACTGTGTGCCAAAGCAAGAGATTTAAATGTGAAATCTTGCTTTCCTCATTTCAAATGCTCTTACTCAGATTCTCCAGGGCAAGGTTGCCACAGGGCCATTAACTGTGGGCTTGTTTTACATTTGCTGAGGTGTGGTGGAAGGGACCAAAATACCTGACACCTGGGTGCTTTCCTAGACTAGTCTACAGAGGCAACACAACCCTAGGTTGGCTCAAACTCTTCCTTTGTGCATGACCGCTAAGAGAATAAACAGCATCCACTATGTAGATATTATCTTAGTTATCAATTACCAGGATACCAGAAATTATTACAACTTAGTTGAAATAAAGAGGAAAGCAAACATTTCAATACTGAAAGAAATTAATTTCTGTAGTTTACTTGTGTACCAAGAGTAGACAAAAATACACAGTGAAACAAGAGCTACTTCCAAGAATTTTAAAGAAAAGGCAGTGCAGTCCATCCTCTATTTCCAAATTGTGAGCTCAAGAGCAGGCCTGATTGTTCTCATTTTAATATCCCCTGTAGTTGACATTAGGCACACAGTGCATATATTACATACTATATGTAATGGCACATTAATTCTAACAGGAAGCAATGTGTCTATAAACTTATCATTTGACTTTATCATGTGCCTCTTTCCCAATACATTTTAAATTGTTTCAGTGAGATATATGTTTGGATTAAGCTGAAATTATATTACTATAAAACAAACATTTATTTGGTGCCCTCTGTTAGTACACAAAGATGAACAAATATAAGTTCACTGTCTAATGAGGAAATTGAAACGAGTCAGGATAATACAATAATGGTAAATGACATCTTTTCCTAATCTGATAAAATACTATGCAGGCCTTCTTTTCTGAGGAAAATAATCACCTTTGGGTTATAGCTGACAAGTTTGCCTCCTATAGTTGCTTAATTATCAAAAATCTGACCTCATTTTTAAAGGAAAAAGCATGTTTTTGGATTCCTATAGGGAACTCTTGCCTCTGAACCTAATCTGACTCTTAAATAAGGAAAAACTCAGTTTTTATTTTCCTTTTATAAATAGAGGTTTTATAGGCAAAATAATGGATTTAAGTTCTGAGCATATGAAATAGAGGATTTTGGTACATATCATCTTCCCTCTTGGTATCATGGTAATAGGCATGATAGAAATCATTATCTATCAAAATGCAAATTGAGGGCTGTTTAGTACAATAGGAACATAGAAATTACTTGTAACAGAAGTTACAAGGTGGAAACAGTAAAATTCTCAGGTAGAAAAAAAAATAAGAGAACATAAAATTTTGATAAAACAGTTGTCAAGTATTCTAAATCACAAATGGGAAAGCTGCATTAAACTGTAAAGTTTTGAGCATTATGAATAGTGTATTTGTGAAGGCTCTTAGAATGATTTAGCAGAATAACCAATCATTACTTTCTTTATAGTGTGGTCAATCTTCCAGCCACAGAGGAAGGCTTGGAATTATTGGAATCCACTGATTTCTTCACTGATTTATCTGTTTTAGATTCCTATTTCCTATTTCCATTTGAAGCCAACTGTATTTAAATCTGTTATAGCCATATTCCACAGAGGTCACATTCAGAACACTTTTATACAATCAAGAAACTACGTTATAATATCCTTTCAACTTTTCTGAAGACCTAAAACTAAAAATTAATTTAAAAGGATAATTTCTACTCAGAATTTCTCTACACAAATATTCAGAAGCTGAAGCTCAAGCCGATGCAAGAACTTCAGACTCTCTTTGAGGCTAACTGAAAAACAAAAAAAAAAAGAGTTCCCATTGAAAAATAAACAGGAGTCCTACCTCTCCTGGGGCTATATCGGTTGGGTCAGGTCCATGATGGAATTCTCTGTGCAGTTTTCCAGAATGTAAGTCAAATACAAATTGCTTGAGTTTTCCAGGAATTCTAAAACCATAGTCAAATAAAATTTAAACTGTTAATATGGACTTACCTCTATTTTACCAACTTCACAGTATTAAAAAAATTTTGCTAACCTACAATCCCACCCTCCTACCACAACGATTGCAGGCCAGGTATGTGTCAAACATTTTTACACAATTGTAAGCATAGTATCCAGATACTCAGTTTTGTATTCTAATTCCTGTACTTGTTTCATAGAAAATTTTCCATGCTTATCATTAAGGCACATTATAATCTACCAAGACGCTGTACCGCAAATTCTTAACCATTTTAAATTAATGGGCACTTTATATATTTTCCTAAATTACATATATGTAACTAAAAAAACCTTTGTTCTGCAACATCACACTAAAAATAACAGGGCTCAAATAACTCAAAAAGAGTTAGGGGCTAACCACTTAAAACTATACAGCTTTGTAACCAAAGCACTATTATCAAGCTGTAATAAAAATATTAGCACCATCCAATGTCCACCACCATTTAAACCTAGTGTCAACCAGGTGATCCTCTGCAGCCTTAACATAAAGGTTGTGAGCCCACTTTTGAGGTCCAGGTCCTTGAGGGTATTCACTAGACAGTAAAAACCAATTTCATCAAATTAACCTGAAGCAGGGCATAGTATTTTCATGTTTTTTTCCCTAAACATAGGGGGAAATGTCTTCATAACTTCTTTAAACCATACATGCAACTTCATTGGATAACTTAACATTATGAAAAGCAAAGCACTTCTCAAGATCATTAAACTAGCTTTTATTTACACTAAGAAAGGCACTTCCTCAGGATTTTCAGCTGTTTTGTTTTGGAGGTCTTCATATACCCCTATGGCATTCTCTTTATGAAAAAGCTTATTCTCTGGCTCACGCCTGTAATCCCAGCACTTTGGGAGGCCAAGGCGGGCGGATCACGAGGTCAGGAGATCGAGACCATCCTGGCTAACACAGTGAAACCCCGTCTCTACTAAAAATACAAAAAAATTAGCCTGGTGTGGTGGCGGGCGCCTGTAGTCCCAGCTACTCGGGAGGCTGAGGCAGGAGAATGGTGGGAACCCGGGAGGTGGAGCTTGCAGTGAGCCGAGATCGGGCCACTGCACTCCAGCCTGGGCGACAGAACGAGACTCTGTCCCCCGCCCCCCCCAAAAAAAAAGAAAAAGAAAAATCTTATTCTGATGGCTTCAGGACATTCTGAGAATAATGATAAATGAACCGACACAACTTCATTTTCTATGGACATTATTCTCTTAATTACCAATCATGTATGAGCAAATCTGCAGCACAGAAACAATGCACTGTAGCAGATAACACCATATTGAGCTAAGCAAATTTATATATCAAGCTTTCCTCTTTGTAATATTTCCTTGAGTTATATACAATAAAGTAGGATTACTGGGTTAACAAATAAGAGCTTTTGACCAAGTGTGAGCAAATTATACCTATAAAACATCAGTTGGTTTTTACTGTTTGTTCTTTAAAGTGTTGCCAGCATGTCTGTCTTTTTAAAATTAAAATTGGTTTTGCTAATTTGGTAAGTAAAAGATACCTGCATTTTAATTTACATTTCTTCACAAATCAAGCATTTTTTCATTGCTTCTCTGAATTTACATTTCTGCTCATATGAATTGTCTGCCTTCTAACTGAGATCTTGGTGCTTTAAAAAATGAATTATATATTTTAAATAGAAACACTTTTTCATTCTGTTACAAGAATTAAAATGCAGGTCCACATACACTTTAATTCCTTGGGTAGAACTGATTGACTTTTAAAATCATTATTTTTTTGGTAGCAAACAATAGCTGGCTTGTAGTTAATATTACCAGTTTCTTTTTCTTTTTATCCTCTCCTGAGGTCCTGGAAGTGCTGTTTCTTCCCTTCAATAATTCCCACTGAGCTGTACCAACCAATAACTTCATTGTATACCCATTTTGGCTCCCCACTAGCTCCAATGCAACAGAGACCAGCAGGTGCCAAATGCACAGTTTACAAATACAAATGACTGTCAGGTAGCTATATTGACAGAATGCCTCTGAAAGGTTCTCTGGTGCTGAAGTAATTGCACATGTACCAGAGATAAACATTGAGAGGAGATCAATTTAAATTTAATCTGACATCATCTACTGTCACCCACAGCAAGTGCTAAAATATATCCATTCAATCCATAGCATTGCAAATGGTCTATAATGTTAAGATAAAGCCTCTGCTAGTTTGTTTTATGAGGTCCAAAGATTATCAAAACTAATACAGTGTGAACTGCTTCTGCTAGTCAAGAAATAATTTATGATTAAATCTTAAATGTGACAAATTCATTGAAAACACTCAAAACACATTTTTCCAAGTTGATTTTTTTCCCTTGTCAACAGATGAAAGAAAAAATTGTGTGCAAAACGAAAAGACGAGAGATAGGATGAATCTGAATTGATGCAGTAGAAAAACAGATTATAAAAGAGCTATCTAGCTTGTGGCCAGAAACTATCCATCATTATGAAGAAGTAACATTCAGTGAATCAACAATAAATTGTCAAGAAAACAGACAACATGCTAATCTCCTAAACAGGAAAATAAATGGGCCCTTGCCATAATAAATAAAATTATATACATCATGCTTTAGGGCAAAATTGTTTTAATTAGAACACCTAAGTGTTTCCCATCCTCCAGATACTTTTTTGTTTATTTACAATTCTTTATTTTTAGGTGAGACAAAATTTTGACATAGTGAAATGCACAAATGTTAAGTGTATGAACAAACTTTAACAAATGAATACAAGGTAATATGTATTTTTATTATTTCTTAAAATTTAGATACAGCAGAATTCACTTTTTTAGGCTTAACTTTTGAGTTTTAACATGTGCATAGCATTTTGCTACCCGCTCCACAAACCAGGTACAGAACAATTCCAACACCCTTTTTAAGTCAGACTCTCCCCTTTCCCACAACCCCTGGCAACTGTTGACCTTCTATGATTGTCATTTGTACAAAATCATACAACATGTAATTATAAGAATGGCTTTTTTTTCACTTAGCATATTGTATTTGAGATTCATTCATCCATTTTTGTATATATAAAAAGATATGTTCCTGTATCCACTGCGGAATAGTATGTCCCATTGAGTAGATATACAATTAGTTTATCCATTCTTCTATTCAAGGACATTCAAGTTCTTTCCAGATTTTGGTGATTATGCACAATACTGCTACAAACATTTGTGCACAACTGTTTGTGAACTTTGTCTAGAACAAATACCAGGTTATATGGTAGGTATATATCTAACTTTTAAAGAAACTGTAAACTGTTTTCTAGAGTGGCTGTATCATGTTGTAATCCACCAGCAATGTATGAAACTTCTAGTTGTTCCATATCCTCATGAATACCTTGTATTATCAGTATTTTAATTTAGGCATTCTAAAATATATATACTGACTAATGATGCTGAGCACCTTCCACATGCGTTTATCTGCTATCCCTATATCTTCTTTACATTCTATCAGTATCTTTCACAGAATAAAAGTTTTTAATTTGATGAAGACCAATTTATACATGATTTCCTTTTATGGATAGTGCTTTTGATACTCTAAGAACTCTCTGTGAAACCCCAGGTCATAAAGAGTTTCTCCTATATTTGCTTCTAAGAGTTTTCTAGTTTTATCTTACATATAGGTGCATGATAAATTCTAAGTTAATTTTTCATAGAAGGAAATTCTTTTTTGGATGAGGACATTCAGTTGGTCTAGCACCATCTGTTGAAAAGACTATCCTTTCTCCACTGAATTGCCCTTAGCACCTTTAAAAAAAATCTATTACTGAGATTACCCTTCCAAGATGGCTGAATAGGAACAGCTCCACTCTGCAGCTCCCAGCATGATCAACGCAGAAGACGGGTGATTTCTGCATTTCCAATTGAGGTACCTGGTTCATCTCATTGGGACTCGTTGGACAGTGGGTGATGCAGCCCACAGAGGGTGAGCTGAAGCAGGGTGGGGTATCGCCTCACTCAGGAAGCACAAGGGGTTGGGGGATTTCCCTTTCCTAGCCAAGGGAAGCTGTGACAGACGGTACCAGAAAAACGGGACATTTCTGCCCAAATACTGCACTTTTCCAACAATCTTAGCAAACAGCATACCAAGAGATTATATCCCACACCTGGCTCAGCGGCTTCCATGCCCATGCAACCTTACTCACGCTAGCTAGCGCAGCAGTCCAAGATTGAACTGCGAGGTGGCAGCCAGAAGGTGGAGGAGCACCTGCTATTGCTGAGGCTTGACTAGGTAAACAAAGCGGCCAGGAAGCTCGAACTGGGTGGAGCCCTCCGCAGCTCAACAAGGCCTCCTTGCCTCTATATACTCCACCTCTGGGGGCAGGGCATAGCTGAACAAAAGCCAGCAGAAACTTCTGCAGACTTAAATGTCCCTATCTGACAGCTCTGAAGAGAGCAGTGGTTCTCCCAGTACAGTGTTTGAGCTCTGCGAATGGACAGAATGCCTCCTCAAGTGGGTCCCTGACCCCTGTGTAGCCTAACTGGGAGACACCTCCCAGTAGGGGCCAACTGACGCCTCATACAGCTGGGTGCCCCTCTGAGACGAAGCTTCCAGAGGAAGGATCAGATAGCAATATTTGCTGTTCTACAATATTTGCTGTTGTGATACCCAGGCAAACAGGGTCTGAAGTGGACCTCCAGCAAACTCCAACAGACCTGCAGCTGAGGGACCTGACTGTTGGAAGGAAAACTAACAAACAGAAAGGAATAGCATCAAAATCAACAAGAAGGACGTTCACACAAAAACCCCATCTGTAGGTCACCATCATCAAAGACCAAAGGTAGATAAAACCACAAAGATGGGGAGAAACAGAGCAAAAAAGCTGAAAATTCTAAAAACCAGAGCACCTCTTCTCCTCCGAAGGATTGCAGCTCCTCGCCAGCAATGGAACAAAGCTGGACGGAGAATAACTTTGATGAGTTGACAGAAGTAGACTTCAGAAGGTAGGTAATAACAAA